GAGAACATGGCTTCGGGTTTCGGGACCCGAAAAAGACCTAAGCTTACCTCCGGACCCTGCTGTACCAAGGAGAACCCCTAAACCCTAAACCCTAAACCCCTAAACCCCCAAACCCCAAACCCCAAACCCCTAAACCCTAAACCCTAAACCCCTAAACCCTAGACCCTAAACCCCTAAACCCCCAAACCCCAAACCCCTAAACCCTAAACCCCTAAACCCCCAAACCCCAAACCCCTAAACCCTAAACCCCTAAACCCGAAACCCTAAACCATAAAGATGCCAGGGGAGAGGTCAGGCAGGATCTCCTGGGTATATGAGGGCCTCTTGATAATTGGGGCTAGGGCTCCTTGAAAGGTTCCTCTGAGAGTTCCTACAAAGCCCGATTCCTTTTAAGGGGTAAGAGCTCCTACATGAACCGAAGATACGGATTCCTTTGAAGGTTCGTCTTCGGGCGGGCGCCTACAAAGGCGCATCTACTACACTCCTTCCAGGGCTTGGGGTCAACGGCTCAGCTTGCGAGTTTGCTCGGAATACGGTTCAAAGACTTGTCCTTGACACCCCGTAAACCCCAAAGACTACATCTTCGATCCTAGAAAACCATCAAACTCATACAAAACTCCATGCAAGACCCTATGATACCTCCACCCTAAACCCTAAACTCTAAACCCTAAACCCTAAACCCTAAACCTAAACCGTATCGAAAGCCTGAATCCCCACCTGAGTCGTCTCCTGAGGGGCTTTCGGCTGAGGCCTCGCGGCGTTAGCTTCGCAGGCTTCCGGAGGCTGCCCCATTAGGGTAAAAGCCAGAAAGTTGGAATATGATTATCCTAAACTCTTAACGGTAAATTATAGGGTATCCTACCCTGAAACCATATTCCAACTTTCTGGAGTTCCCTTTAGGCTTAGATTAACGGTTCAGGGAGTTTGGAGTTCGGAGTTTAGGGTTTGGGTTAGGGCAAGGGTTTGGTGTTCAGAGTTTGACGCGTAAATTAAAGAAGGCAATAATTAGAATACGGCTTTGGAACATGTTTCGTGACAGGCAGATAAAGTTCAAACGCAGGGATGCAGGCTGTTACTGTGGGTTTAAAGGGAGGGCTTGCAAATTCGGTTGCAATAACCCTACCTTTTGGGATTTGGGGCATCCAGCGCCGTTCAGAGTGAAGTACGTAGGACTATTTGGATACTTGGGCCCACAGGGTTCGAACTGCTTACGATTTGGGTACTTGTTACGGCTTACAATTCGGCTTAGGCTTCACGGCATCGCCAAATCCTACAAATAGTGGGTTATGAGCCCTGAAGCATGGGGTGCAAGCCCTCGAAGTAGTAGGTACTACGAGCAACAGGAAGTCCTTCTTCTTTCAGTCGGCCACGCTCAACAGCTCAGCATCTCGCAGCGACGCACTGAAGTATCCAAACCCTTGCTTCCCGTGCGCACACCATGACACTACTCCTCTTATCAAGGCCGGCATGATGACATGAAATAGGGTCTTCTGAGGGGGAGTACAGCAACGACCCTAAGCCCTACACCCCTTTACTTGTATGATAATGTGTTATATAGATGACATGGACATGTTTGTTGAGTTCTTGCGGATTACGTACGTGTTCTTGAGTTTCCGCAAGGTCTCGTAAGACCTAGACTCATAGGCTCCATAGTAGTTCCGTTTAGGGATTACCTTAAACAAGTTATAGGCATCTAACTATGAACCCCAAACGGAACTACCATGGAGCCTATGGGTAGACTCAAATACTTCGTTTTGGATCACCTGCCGGGCTTTCAGCGGGAGCCCAAATTTCATCATGTGATACTAGCTGTCCAAAAATCCAGAGAACCCAATACCCCTTAATTCAGGCATATACCTTAAATCATAATGTTAAGCCCCCTATATTTAAAGCATAATCCTTAATTAAAGGGTATTGGGATCTTTGGGAAGAGGGATTCAGGTTTGGTGATGTAGAGGGTCCACAAATACTAGCAATATGAAATTAGGTCCCAAAAGACCATCCCCAATTAATTGGTAGTATATATATGGACCCTCTTGGCTCGAACGGAAAACTTGAAGTTCGTATAACGTGGCAATGACAGGGCCTTCTTCGTGCTTCATACCAGTTAATTAATGTCAGGCGTTTGCTCTAGCATCCGTGGTCAAAGTTATACTGCAGGATACTGCACTACCCTTCTTCTCAACCATATAATATGAGCATCAGATATCACGAAATCAGTTTCGGAGTTAAGGTTCTCATTAATGTAGGAACCTGATTACCCAGGATCTTTCTTAGGTTTCTGTATATTTATCCTGTTGTTTGGGGGTTTCAGGGCCAGGGATTCTTAATCAGGTGCCTACATGACGCTAGAGGGCTTGGGAGGTGCATTCCGGATTGTCGTTTTCGGATTCGTGGGGTTGCAGCGTGAGGTGTGGCTATGCATACGATGAAACAAACTTTCACACAGGTGTCCCACACTGTGAGCTTACTTGCGCAGAAGGCATGGAAACTGCCTGCACTGCTCTGCAGTGCAGAGGCAGCATGTGGGTTTCAGAAAATCAGGGTTCATTTTGCAAGGTCCATTTCGTGACAAGGCTTTTGCTATTTCGCGCATATAAGACAGTCTAGTGTTTCCTGCAACTCCTAAACTCCGCCCAGAAAGAAGCGTCTTGAAAACTTATCCTGGCGGAATGCAATGTCTGCGTCGTTTGGCGACGCTTGGCCTGGAACTCTCAGGGTTTAACGTCTCAGTTAGAAGGGGCCCCCACACTGTAATAGTGGCTATAAGGATTCTATTGGGGCACTATTATATTCCTATTATACCACCATTACAGGGTGGGGGCCCCTTCTACCATCTCAGTTTCAGTCAACTGCAACCTTTGCCTCGGACACTGAGCCCTAACACGCCGTCGAGGTTGAGGCGCTATGAAGGCCTAGGCCATAAACCCTAAATCCTGAACTCTTAAACCCCCCTAAACCCTAAACCCTGAACCCTAAATCCCTAAACCCTAAACCCCTAAACCCTAAACCCTACAAACGCAAGACTTAGGGTTGAGATTGAATCAGTCGGGCTGAGCCGGGAACCCGACCCATGAACCCTACTACTCGGTCTTGTAAACTAAGATCTTATGGCTGGAGAGGTTTAGGGTTCAGGGTTCGGGGGTTTGGGGTTGAGGGCATTGGGCTTACATCGAATAACCTGCCCAGGCACCGCAGACGCTTGAACTCAGAAACGCGCATCCCCGCCAGACTATTTCAGCCTGGTCTCTCCGTCACATACGGTCTTAGGCGCGACCATGAAAGCCTGCCCTGTCTACGGTTTAGTCTTAATTAGGGCTTAGGATTCCCATGTGAAGTTTTCAGATTTGTGGGGGGTTGGGGTTGTACCAACAGTGTGCAGGGCCGAATTCAGCCCCCAGGAACAAAACCAAAAGCATATCTGTACGTGCCCAGGCGGTCAGCAAAAGCATGAGTTTGGGATACCCCTTCAAGCAAAAACCAACCGGGAACAACCCAACGAGGATCCTTGAAAGGCAGCCCGCTCTTGTTGTCTACTTACCTATACTACTATTTTGGGGGTTCCTTACTTTGAATATACTATCATATAATATACACCCAAACCCTATTCTAATTACTCAGGCGCCCACATTATTCCTCCATGTGTTATTTAAGGAGGGAGCGCCCTGGGCTTTGACATCGGAGCCCCTACTGTACCTTGAGACAAGTAAATCGGTGGTGAAAATGACAACTAGGAGGGGCTCTGAAAGCCTTTGAACAAATTTAGTAGGTAAGATCCTCTTAAGCCCAATAAGAGAAAATATAAAATGTCCCAAAGCCCTACCTAGACAATAAGTGAAATAACAAAACCCCCTGGATAACCTAGCTTCCGCAGTAAGACCTGTCCTGTAAAGGCACCCTTCGTCATAATCTGCGGCTTCAAGAGGGAGACCCCAACAAAAACAGGCTGTAAGGCCACTACCTGGGGAACCAGTCACCGCCTGAACCAGCAACGAAACACCAAACCCAAAACTCAAAACCTTACACTATTCCCTAAATACCCACTATTAAGGGCCATAAGGGCTCTATTAAAGGGTACTTGGGGGGGTCCTAGTAAACCCCAACCCAAAACTCAAACCCTAAACCCCAAACTTCTAAACAACTGAAGCCTAAGACCGATGCAGAAAAACAGAGGACGCCATTTTGTGACCAAGCTATTGGCCACAGGCCGGACGCTGCCACAGGAATCCTCGAAAGTTCTAGGCCGAGTTTAGGGTGTAGGGCTTCGGGTTTAGGGTTTAGGGTCTTAGTGTTTAGGGTCTACGTACAGACACCCGATAGATGAATCGTGCGCTGTAAGGCTATTGCCAACAGGATGATGCTATTGAGCTCTGAAGGTCACTATCGAACTGCACTGACACCTGTGGTCAGATTTTGGGACCAAGATTTGGGATTAGAGAGCTTAGAATGCTAAGCAAGGATTTCAGGTTAGGGTGCAGGGCCTTAGGGTTTAGAGTTCAGGGGTTACGGGGTTTGGGTTTAACTTCTAGTTAAGCGCATCCTGTCTGCTGTCATCCGGCTCCAGCGAAAACGGTTCAGCAGTGTTGGACGGGATTTTACCCGAATTGTCTTTAGTGTAAACTTTCGTAGATGGAAGCCACAAAGTTGGAACATGTTAAATGACACAGGAGACATGATACTGCTAGTCTGACTGCATTTGGCTCTTCATGGATCGGGATACCACTGTTCCAACATTCTGCCTGCTACCGGAGATCGGCGTAAAACCCTTCTCCTACCCAGAGATCCCGATACTCCCCCTTAAATCCTTGGGGGCCGAATATTATGATTGTAGGCATATTCCAAAAATCAAGGGGTACTTGGAGGATCATGGGACTTAGTAAGTAGGGTTATCAGTACCCTAATTAGGGATATAAGAACACGTAACTATAATGACCTTACTTACATCCCTACTTACTAAGTCCCCTGATCCTCAAAGTACTGGGCTCTCTCTCTGGGCCTTTCTAGCTCAACATGGAGGAGCCCAGTTTCCCAGGCACCACTGGCCCGAACCAGTCGCGGCCTGGACTTTGTAGCTTCCATGGTTTAGGGTTTACTTGGAGGATCAGGGGACTTTAGTACTATAGTTATATCTACTTATAACCCCAAGTAAGGTACTTATAACCCTAGTTACCAAGTCCCAAGATCCTCTAAGTAAGGTTTGGTGTTCTTTAGAGGTTTTTAGGGTGTAGGGGTTAGGGTTCCTTAGAGGGTTTAGGGTTTCGGGGTTCAGGGTTTAGAGTTTAGGGTTCAGGGTGTGGGGTTTAGGGTTGATGGGCTTTTGGGACTACTTCAAACACAGGTTCTTGCCAACGAGCGAAATTTGTTTTGTAAATAGCGAGAAAAAACTTTTGCAATGTATCAATACTCTTGTAACGTAGGCATGTACGATGAATCCCTACCTAGACCCCCCCAAAACCTTCTAACATACCTGAAATGCCCGCTATTAAGGACCATAAGGGCTGTATACAGGGCAGTTGGGGGGTCCTGGTGTCATGGACACCCAGAGAGCCCAACACCCCTTCATTAAGGAATATAGCCTACCTTAAAGGGATCTATACCGGTTCTACAAAGGAATTAAGGAATATGGCTTAAATCATAATATGAAGCCCCCTAAACCCTAAACCCTAAGAATTTGAGCCATATTCCTTGATTACGGGGTATTGGGCTCTCTGGGAACTTAGCCTTGGAGACCTCACAAGAACCCGGCTTAGGGTTTAGGGTTAAGGTTTTAGGGTTTAGGGCTTTAGGGCTTTAGGGGGTTAGGGTTTAGGGTTCTGTTTTTAGGGTTCCAGGAGTTCCCAAAGTAAGCACATGGGTCGTTGTCATACTTAGGTCCCTTTTTGGACACCCTAAAGATTAGCTGCCGTACTATATTAGGGACCCAAAAGAGGGTACATAATTTTTACAAGCGCCCACATAAAACAGCTGATGCCCGTTGCTCTATATTCTAGCCTTCGCCGGGAAACGCCCAATCAAGAAAAACACAAAACAAAGTGGACCGGGGTACTAGTACTATTGGCCGACCATGCTAACTTTAACAGGAAGCCATTACAGAAATTATGAACCCTGACCCCTAAACGCTAAACCCCAGACCCTAAATCGTTTCTTCAGAATGGTGTCTTTTGTCAAGCTCACAGTCTAGGGGCTAAGAATACTCGCCGTTTGGACCTTACGGCTTTCAGGAGCACATCTTGGGTTGTAGGTTATGTGTATGAGATTTAGGGTTTAGACCTTTTGGGGTTTTGGGTTTACTGTTTGGTGCCTGGGGCTGAGTTGCAACGAAGAGGCTTTCCGAAGACTTCGACGCATTTGATTTCTCAGACGCGTGCGATGCCTTGGCAGCTAGAGGGAGAGAACATACAGTCCTTAATATTCGGATCGCGGCTGTAATCCCTGTCGAAGGAGTGGGTGTGCCACTACTCCCAGGTCTACAGTACGCTCTTTGCAAGTCCGCATTGCGTACAAATCCCTTCAACTTCTACTTCTGGTGCTGCTGCCGCTACACTAGTTGCCTCCAAATCCACTTGTTCACTTTGCTAATTCTGGCTTCGGGTTTCGGAAGTGTTCGGGAGTTCGGGGAGTGTGGGGGTGGGGGCGGGGGGTGAGCGTCATGACGACACGCTAGCGCGAGCATGCAGGTTACTCGGTATTCACGGTACTTTCGTAATATCGCACCATTTCTTGTTGCCTAAAATATCCACTTGTCGATCTTGCAAATTCGAGCTTCCAGAACCCAGCAATAGT